TTTTTTAGAGATAGGGTCTTGCTGCTCTGTCACTCGGGCTGGAGTGCAGTGGCACGATCATAGTTCACTGCAGCCTCCAACTCCTGAGCTCAAATAATCCTCTCACCTCAGCCTCCCGAGTAGCTAGGACTACAGGTGTGCAACACCACACCTGGCTGATTTTTCTATTTTTTGTAGAGTCAGGGTCTCACTATGTTGCTCAGGCTGGTCTTGAACTCCGGGCCTGATCCTCCTGCCGTGGCCTCTCAAAGTGCTGGGTTTACAGGCGTGAGCCACTGTGCACCCGGCCCTACCTCATTGTTTATACTGTTGCCACCCTTTATACTGTTTCACTCCTTTAACTGCCTTATTCTTTCTACCACCTGACACAGGATTCCACTTTAAGGATAAACTATGATTACTTTAAGCAAACCCCCTACTGATGGACATAGAAATTGTTTCCGACTTTTGCCATTATAACCAATGGCATATTGAGTGTCATTGTCCTTAGGTCTTTGCACATTTGCCTGATTATCTATAATCCAATTCTAGAAGCAGAATTCCTGGGTTATAGGATATGTATGTACAAATACTCATATACCTGGCCAGCTATCAAGTGAGTTTTTAGGGAGGAGTCTGCCTGGCATGGAGCAGGATAAGGCCACCAGCCAGCCAGACCTACTACCAACTCGCTGTGTGACCCTAGGTAAGTCACTCTCCCTCTCTGGTCCTCTGCTGCCATTACACGAGGATAGTAATCTCTCAGGGTCATGCGAGCTCTGATGCTCTGTGGTTCTGCTATGTTTCATGGCAGGGAAGGCTCAAGGCCGGCCAGAAGACAAAGGGGCAGGAACTCACCCTCAGGTGGGTGCCAGAGATGGGGTCTGGGGTGACTGGCTTCCATTGCTCAGAGCCTTCCTCCTGGAAACTGATGTGGTAACCTGTGACCGGCCCAGCCCCCGTGTAGAGTGGGGGCTCCCACTGCAGCATCAGGGAGGTGGCCCGCACCTCGGTTGCCCGCACATCGTACGGGGGACCTGTGGGAGATGAGAAAGGGCAGAGATGTGGCAGTTGGTAGCCAGGGAACCAACCAGACCGCCAGCTGGCGAGCCAGACAGACAGGCAGCCAGCCAAGTGGTCAATCAGCAAACTTGCCGATCTGTCCGTCACAGCCAACCCTGGAAGGGCCTGCTCTGGGTGTGGTGGGGACCTGGCCCGCCTTGTCTTCGTGAAAACCGTGGCTCATCTGGCTGGTTAGGTTCGGGGAGGGAGGGTGGGCAGGCGCCGGACTTCAGGCCTCCAGGCCCTCACCTGGCTGGGGCATCGTCCACTCCTTGCACTCAAACAGGCTGCTGGGCGCCGACAGCTCGCCAACACCTGCCCAGTTTACAGCCCGGGCACGGAACTCGTAGAAGTGGCCTTCTCGAAGGTCACTGACCTTGAAGAGCAGAAACATGGCCCGTGAGGCGGAGGTGGGGGAGCGGAAGGGGCGCGGCAGCAGTGGGGAGCGAATCCGCAGGAGGCCTGGGGGGCTTCAGACAGGACTTTCCCCGGTGGGGCTGCCCTGGAGGACGAGCTGGAGGACTGAGGTGGGGACCTTGAGGCCCCTTCCAGACTCAGCCTCAAACGGTCCCGCAGGTCTCCCTGCGCAGGCCATGACTCGGGGCGGGGTCGCAAGGGTGGCGTTCCAGCCTTGCCTTGCAGACTTGGGTCGGGACGGGCTGCTGGTTGACCGCGTGCCAGTCCAGCTCCTCGGAGTCGTGCTGGTCCAGGAAGTAGCCCAGGATCTTGCCACCTCCACGACGCTTGGGAGGCTTCCACCCAATGACCATTTCATTCTTCCCGCAGTTCAGGAGGGCAAAACCGTACGGGGCAGACGGGGTAGCTATGGGGAGGCAGGGAGGTGAGGACAGCTGTCCCCTGGGGGTGGCTGGATTGGGCAGTGGGGCTTGAGAAAGCCAACAAGCCTTCCCCAGTGGGTGCACACCCTGCTCCAGGGGGTGCTCCCTGAGCCAGCAGCATCCGCCCCCCTGTTGGGCACCTGGGCCTCAGGTTTCTGGGCCCCGGGGCCCCCCACACCCCAGAGCTGATCAGGCCTCATCCCATGGCCTCAAGCCATTATTCCTTCTTCCCCAAAGGAAAGGGTGGTCGGCCCCAGCTCCGGTCTCCCTCCAAGAGCTCATGTCCCATTGGCCACTGGGATTGGACCCTCCAAGATGTGGTCATGAGCCCCCGGCTCCCTGCCCAGCCAGGGCTGCCCCCAGAGGCCTGCAGGCTGGACCTGCCCCCGCACTCACCCAGAGCCTGCTTCACTCTGATGGGTTCGGTGGGGGCTGAGCTCTCACCTACCCCGGCCTCGCTGACTGACCTGACGCAAAACTCATATTCCTTCCCCGTCCTCAGCCCAGGAACCGTAAACCTGGGAGAGAAATGTGCAGCCTTCAGGGATGGCCAAACAGCCCGGAGACATTCCTGAACTTTCTAGAACAACCTTGTGGGATAAGTGGCCACCAGTGTGGTAGGATTTGAGGGTTCTGGGCCAGTTCTTACCTAAAAATATTGGCCCTGATCCCACAGGGATGCCCGAAACAGCACCAATTGGGATGTGGTCCTTAATGGTTTTAAAGGTTTTGCTCTTCTGGGCCCACGATTAAAATGCAAATATGCTGGGAAATGTCTGAATTTAAGGCAAAGGCAGCTGACCCCACAGTGCTACATGGTACATTCTCAGGACTTCGGGGCTTGTCCCTAAAAAAGAACAAGTGGCTGCGATTCAAAAACACAAAGTCCTTTTAAAGACCCCAAAGGGAATTGTCATCCGGAGGAATACGAGGACACTCTGGCTTAGAGAAAATGTCCTTCTCAACCTGCCCTTTCTTGATAAAACCCAAAGTGTGGACCCCTCTTTCTCCCTTTTCACTGATCCCGCATTTTCCTGTAGCAAATCTTAGTATGATTTAAGTCCTTGGGAGCTCCTTGTGACCTTGGCCCCTGAGGGGCTCCAAAGACTTAAATCACCCCAAGTGCTGAAGGCTGACAGTGCCAAGCTCCCGCTGAGGACGCACGCATCTAAGGGGAACATGGCTTTGCCAGGGGATGAGGGTCAGGCAGCATCTGACCAGGTGAGGCTGGGGATGCCTCCCCACACCAGGCCCTGTTGACAGCAGATGGCGGCGATGACAATGACGACAGCAGCACACTCTCGTCTAGCCCTCTCTGTACATGTATCAACCGGGCACTCGTCACAACACCCTCGAAGGAAGGTACTGTTACTTATCCCTCCTCTGGAGATGAGGACAAAGTCCTGAATGTTGGAATACTGGAGGGGCCCTTACAGATCAAACTTCATGTCACCGGCAGGGAAGGGCTCCCACAGGAGGACAGACCTGCTAGGAGCCCACAGCTGAGCAGGGGCACAGCCCAGGCCCCAGCCAGGTCTCCTGAGCTCCAGGGCAGCCCCTGCCCACTCACCATTCCTACGTTCATTCATTCATTCAGTGTTTGAGCCTCTCCTTCATGCATTCATTCAGTGTTTGAGCCTCTCCTGTGAGCCAGTCTGTGGGGCCTGGCGGTTCAGCGACCTCCACAGCCTGGCTGGGCTCCCTTTAGCCCTCAGCCCAGGCTCTGACTCCTGGGCAGCACCTGTAACAGGCGACATGCACACATGTGACATGTTCCCTGCATGTCACTCTGTTCATGCCAACTCTCCCTCAGTGCTGCCCTCCCCCTAAGGGAAGCACACTCAAATGCAAGTAGGAGGAGAGGTCTTACTCTAGGCATCACCTTGACTCTGAGCTAACTTGTCAAAAACCTGATTATTGTCCATCTTGGGAACTTTATCTGTTGTTAGTAACAAATTATGAGTGACCCCTGGCAGCTGCGCATGAGGCACTCAAGACCAGTGGGCTCAAGGCCTATCCCTTTTTCTGGGTTAGTTGACTGGGGCTTGTGGCCCAGGGTGAGGGGAGCCCGGCCAGGTGTGCTCGGGGCCAGTCGTCTGATGGAAAGGGAAGGGGGAGGTGTCATCTCCTAAGCCCCCTACCCCACAAAGCCCTGATATCGAGAGAAGTCATGAGCTCAGAAGCCCCAAAGCGCACTGTGCCTGCAAGACGAGGCTCTTGGAGGGCCGTGGTGGGGAGTGAGCCTCAGAGTGGACTGGGAGTTGGAACATCAGGAGGCCAGGAGTGCACCCCCCATACCACCATATTACAGAAGGACGGAGGCTCAGAGAGGGTGGGTCTTCCGTGCAGGGTGCCAGGACAGTCAGGGGAGGGTGTGGGGCCTGAACCCAAGTCTCGCTGGCTCAAAGCGCCCAGCTGAAGGGTCAAGACTTCTTCCCACGGAGTCCTGCAGATGGCATGTCCTCAGCAAGGGTTGCTGGAAGAGACCATCTGGGTTCAAGTCCCAGTTCTTCCACTTACTAGCTATGAAAGCTTTGGCCAGTTACTTAACCTCTCTGTAAAATGATAATAAAAATACCAGTCCTAAATGTGTAGGACTGCAGTTAGAACTAGACGACCTGATAGATGCAGGACGCTTAGACAAGCGCCTGGCCAGGGCAAGTACTATGACGCGCTGGTCTTCATGTTATTAGGACGCCTCCTTCGAGGATGCCCCGGTGCAGGAGGGGGCTGCAGACTTACTTGTTGTCCTGGATGGGTTTGTTGTTAACTGTTTGCCACTCAGACGACCCCACCTCCCGGGAGTAGATGTAATAGCCCAGGAGCTCCGGGCCGCCATCCACAGGGTCCCAGGTCAGGGAGACAGAAGTCTGTGTGTCTCGGAGAGCTTGGACTTGAGCTGGTGGAGGCAGGGTGGCTGAAACACAGAATCGTGTGCTGAGTGAGGACGGAGTTACGTGGCTGTGACAGGGGAGGGCAGGGGAGGACATGGGCAGAGGCCGGAGGAGCCCTTACAGCCATCAGGGGTGGTACATGAACTCCAGACATGCCAGGGCTGTGAGCAGCTCCTTCCCAGGCCCAAAGTGTGCCCCAGACTCCTGTATCCTAAAAGTTCTCTCTCATCTCACCTCTGAGCATCTTTGCTTCCTCACTAAAGCACCACAGCCCTCACTCACCCACCCTTACATGCTCTCTCTCTCTCTCTCTTACTCAGAAGTCACCAAATCTGACAGCTTTTCTCAGTCCTTCTCTTCAATCTCAAGAAAACTTGATTTTCTTTCCTTGAAACTTCTTTATTGATTTTCATGGCCTCATGAGACTAAAATGCTTGAGTTAGGGGCTTGCCATGATTTGTTAAATGGGTAGATGAATAATTGGTTGGGTGAATGCATGGATGGATGGATGCATGGATGGATAGACGGATGGATGGATGGATGCATGGATGGATAGACGGATGGATGGATGGATGCATGGATGGATAGACGGATGGATGGATGGTTGCATGGATGGATAGATGGATGGATGGATGGATGCATGGATGGATAGACAGATGGGTGGATGGATAGATGGATGGACGGATAGATGCATGGATGGATAGATGGATGGATGGATGGATGCATGGATGGATAGATGGATGGTTGGATGGATGCATGGATAGATAGATGGATGGATGGATATATGCATGGATGGATAGATGGATGGATGGATGGATGCATGGATGGATAGATGGATAGATGGATGTATGCATGGATGGATAGACAGATGGGTGGATGGATAGATGGATGGACAGATAGATGCATGGATGGATAGATGGATGGATGGATGGATGCATGGATGGATAGATGGATGGATGGATGGATGCATGGATGGATAGATGGATGGTTGGATGTATGCATGGATGGATAGACAGATGGATGGATGGATAGATGGATGGACAGATGTATGCATGGATGGATGTATGCATGGATAGGATGTATGCATGGATGGATGGATGCATGGATGGATAGACAGATGGATGGATGGATGCATAGGTGGATGGATGCGTGGATGGATAGATGGATGGATGGATGGATGGATGGATGGATGGATAGGTAAACAGGTGGATGGACAGACAGATGGATGAATGGATGGATGAATGGCAGGTACATGATCTTCCTAGTTTTCTCTTTACTTTTCACACTCCTTACACATCCTTTGGTGGCTCCCCATCTTCTTTTTGCCTCAAATGTGGGGCTCCTCCAAGCTTCTCTTTCTAGACTTGCTCCATTTTTCACCTCTCCTCTTACTCCTGAGGGCCCTGCCTATCTCAGGCCTTCAACTCTCATCTCTCTGCAGGCCTCACCTCTAGCCCTGCTCTCTCTCCTGAATTCCAGAGCCTCTTCTTCCATTTCTCCCTGCACATCTCTCCTTGTTTTCTGGTGGTGCCCTGAAGTCAACAGGAAAGGCTGACCTCAGCATCTACCCAACACAAATCCAGTATTTTTCGAGTGCCTACTCTGAGCCAGGCACTGCCCCAGCCTGGGGCAGGTACTGAGAAATAGACTTGAGGTCCTGGGCTCAGGAAGGTCTGGTCAGCAACTTCAACATCTGGGATTAAAGGCATCGTGGCAGGGGGTGCAGACTGGTGGAGGGGTGAGGCTAGAAGGGAACCACTCAGGGAACCCATGTGCTGAAGAGCTCTCCTTCTACCCAAGGGCAGGAACTTGAGCTGAGGGTATCATGGTATGGAGTCATCCTCAGACACTAAAATCATGATTTCAAGGATTTCATGACCCGAGGAAACGTTTGTGGTATAATGTTAATTTTAATTTTAATTTTGAGACAGAGTCTCACTCTGTTGCCCTGGGTAGAGTGCAGTGGTGTCATTGTAGCTCACTGCAACCTCAAACTCCTGGGCTCAAGAGATCCTCCTGGCTCAGCCTCCTGAGTAGCTGGGACTACAGGCTGCACCACCAAGTCTGGCTAATTTTTCTATTTTTTGTAGAGATGGGGTCTCGCTCTTGCTCAGGCTGGTCTCCAACTCCTGACCTCAAGCAACCCTCCCACCCCAGCCTCCCAGAGTGCTAGGATTACAGGCATGAGCCACTGTGCCTGGCCCAATGTTAATTTTTAGAAGTAGAATGCAAAGCTCTACCTATGGTCTGCTCACATGTTCAAAGAGAAGCATTGATGTGCATGTTGTCAAGAGGCCAGATGCCAGGACAACCAGATGCTCACAGTGGTTACCTCTGGGTGCTGGGATCACGGGTGGGGGGTGGGGACAGTCTTTTCCAGCTTCCTTCCCTCCTCCCTCCTTTCTTCCCTCCCTCCTTTTCTCCTTTCCTCCTTCTGTTTCTCTTTTGCTTGTTTGATATTTTCTCATTTTTGTATGGTAAATTTACTTTTATAATACAAGTAAATGCTTTTCCTTTCCTCCCACCCCCACCCCTTTTCCGAAGTGCACCGGAGCCTTGCCTAAGTCTGGCTTATGGTCCAGAGACTGCTCATATCTGATCACAAACTGCTCACTGGCCAGGGCCCAAATCAAACCCAAATGTTAACCAGACCAGAGTTAAAGAAAAATACCCTTGCTCACCAACCCGCTCGGACTTGCCATGAACGGGTGTGTGTTTATACATGTATATATTTCCCCTAAATTACTTAAGCAGAGCTAATCTAGAACTTCTAAGTCTTCCCTAAATGGGACCTCCAGCAAACCAGGCATTTCTTGGACAGGTGGCACTGAGCTAGGTTCCTTAAAGGAATGTTTGGCGATGGCAGCTGCAGGGAACCTTCTGATCCTATCTGATCAAAGAGCAAAGAACCCCAGTACCCAGAGGCCTCCGAGCAGGGAGGGAGCCAGGATGGAGCTGCCTCTGGGAGACTCAGGGGGGAGCAGGAGGGGGCGCAGTAACCAGGGCCTTCAGAACGATGGGCTTGGCAGGTGAGGACAGCAAGGTGTGCAGCTCGGAAATGAGTTGCCCAGGCCCTCACTGTGCTGCAGGTGAGCCAGGGCTCAGGTGGGACTGCTCAGCCCCCGCCAGGGCGTGAGCAGGGGCCTGTTTGGGGTCACTCCTGGCCACGCGGGCAGGATCCAGGGGGCAGGCAGAGACTTTTAGAACCAAAGGGCCACTTGCTCACACTCGGCTCCTGTGCCGGACCTAGCTGGACTCTATAACTTGTGAATTGTCGATCTGGAAAAGACATCCATCCCTCCATGAGCCTCCTGCCCAGAGAAATGTGTTTTCCAAAGTTTTAAAACTTCCCAGGCTGGAGACCATGTTGCTTTTCAGTTTCGTGATAGGTGGAGGGGATCAGGGAGGGGGAAACGGGCAGGGCTCTGTCTCTGCAGCCTGGGTCCTGACCCCTGAGGCTGGCGGCCTGGCCTGCCTGCCTGCCACCCCATCCCCTGCGTCCTGCGGGCACCTGGCTTGCCCTTCAGGGCGATGGGCTCGCTGGGCTCCGAGGGATCGCTCAGCCCATACTGGTTCATCGCTCGCACTCTGAAGACGTACGACTTCCCTTTCTCCAGGTCGAGAAGGGCGAATCTCGGGGACTTCACAGGGCTTTCTGAGCAGATGGCCTCCCAGGTGCCACTGCCTATGACTGACTGAAGAGAAAGAGGAACTCCAGTTGGCTGAGTGGCCGCCTGGGGCTCTCGTGAACTTCCACCCCCAGCCCAGCCGTCCCTGAGGACCCGGACGCCTGCCAGGACCTCACACTCCCCAGGCCCTCGCTCTGCCACTTCCTCCACCTGCGCCGCCCACATCCTGTCGGTGGTTCCCACCCTCCAGTTGCTCGGCCCAAAGCCCTGGAGCCATCCCGGCTCCTTCCCTCTCTCTCACACACCCCAAATGTGCTCCATCAACAAACCCAGTTAGCTGTCTCTTCCAACGGTACCTGGAACCCAGCCGTGACTTTCCGCCCTCATTCTCCCGCCATGACCTTGGCAGGCCACCGGCACCTCTCGCCTGAATTGTCTGAATAGCCTTTGACTGGTCTTCCCGCTTCTGCCCGCACCCCCTTCGGTCTCCTCTCAAATGGCCGTCGGAGGGATCCTTGTACGGCACAGGTCAGGTCCCTCGTGCTCAAGCCCCCGTCTTCCTCAGAGCAAGAGCTTCCCCACGACCTGGCTCGCTCCTTTCATGTCTCGATCCCCTCCCCTCTGTGTCTCCGCTTCCCCCACCACGGCCCTAGTCCCACCTCTGGGCCTTCGCACTTGCTGGTCCCTCAGCCTGGAATGTTCTTTCCCCAGAAATCTCTTTGCTGGCTCCTGATGTCGTGTGGGTCTTTTTCAGTGACACCCTCCCTCACCCCCACTCTATCTAAAATGCCAATAGCCCTCCCCTGCTTCATGTTGCCCTCCCTGGCATACTGCTTGCTGCTGTGGTTAGTATTAGTATTTCACTGCTTTACCTTGTTTTTTGTTTTTTTTTTTTGAGACAGAGTCTCACTGTGTTGCCTCGGCTAGAGTGCCGTGGCGTCAGCCTAGCTCACAGCAACCTCAAACTCCTGGGCTCAAGCGATCCTCCTGCCTCAGCCTCCCGAGTAGCTGGGACTACAGGCATGCGCCACCATGCCCGGCTAATTTTTTCTATATATTTTTAGTTGTCCAATTAATTTCTTTCTAATTTTAGTAGAGACGGGGTCTCGCTCTTGCTCAGGCTGGTCTCGAACTCCTGACCTCAAACAATCCGCCCGCCTCGGCCTCCCAGAGTGCTAGGATTACAGGCGTGAGCCACCGCGCCCGGCCTACCTTGTTTTTCATTGTTCAGCATCGGTACCCCCCCACCTCCACCCCACTGCTGTGTCCCCAGGGCCAGAAATACTATTGGCACATGGGAGGTGCTCCATCTGTTTCCGGGACAAATAAATGAATAAATGGGTGAATTCTCACAATACTCCTGTAAGGAAGGTGTTCATTTCCCCACCAGTGAGGAAACTCAGGTTCAGAGAGGTTTGATAATTTGGCCAAAAGTCATGCATCTAATAATGGGGATACGGCATTTGAACTTAGGCGTGGGTGGCCCTAGCCCTGTTCACTCTCCACGGCACCAGGGACTGAAAAGGCAGCCAGAAAGCCTGAGTCTCTGGGCAGAAGGGGCGATGCGGTGAGTGAGAGACCATTTCTGCTGAGTCTGGGCCTGAGAGTTACGACTCAGAGGCACCCGAGGGACCCACGGATTCCAGCCTCTGTGGCCTTTCCCCTCCCAAGGCCCACCTGGCTGTCAGCGGCCAAGAACCCAGCTAGGCCAAGAAATCGCCACAAGAAACTGTGAACTTTACTGAACACCTACTGTGCGCCAGGCTCTAAGTTTTCACGTGTTATAATTAATTAGACCTTCACAGTAGCCCTATAAGTCATATATGATCCATTTTATGGAAGAGGAAACTGAGGCACAAAGAGACTGAATAACTCGCCCAAGGTAACACAGCTAGTAAGCAGCAGAGACAGATTTGAGCCGTCTGACTCCAAGGCCGTCACCATTACACTCCACGGCCTCACAAAACAGAACCTTGATTATCTACAGCTTCCTGTGTGGGAGAAATAGGATCACTTGCAAGTGTGAAAAGAGAGGCCCGTTTGGATACCCAGGGCCAGAGATTCCTCCTGGAAGATTTTAATTCATTTATCACTAAGCCTTTACTGTGTACCTACTATGTGCCAGGCACCGTGCTGGGACAGTAGGCAAGGAGAAGATAAACTTGGTCTCTGACCACAGGGAGACCGGATCAAGGACACCTCGTTGGGAAGCGTTTACAGACCCTGGGCTGTGGTCCTGGCTGTGGGCTGTGTTTTCTTTCATCCTCACAGGGCTGGTTCTCTATTCTATGCTGGAGGAAAACGAGGCTCAGAGAAGTTAGGAGACTAACTCAGGATCACACAGCAGAAACCAGAACTTGAACCTATCTTTACACCCTGCTGTCTTCTGCTCTGCCAGGCTGCCTCCCCTCCACAGTGATGTCTACTCCACAGGAGCTGGCCTGTCCCCACTGTGGTCTCCCTGCCCCCTACTCTGTCCTGAGTGAGAACCACCTCCTAGTGCTGACCCCTCCCCAGGCCCTGCAAGCGCTACTGGTCCATGCCCCTGGCGGGAGGGTGCCAGCCTAGCTTGCCTCCCGACACAGCCCTGCCAAGAAGGGGTGCTTGGCCCCAAATTGTGACCCGATGCCAGCTGTGGGGACAGGGAGGTACCCAGGAAGTGGTGGCTCTTACTGCTGTTTTTGTTGTCTGTGCCTCTTAATTTTGTGTATTTCCGTCAACAGCCTCAGGAACTGCCACCAGTGCCTGGCCTCTCAGGGCTGGCGGTGACCTCCAAAGGTTATTCAGCCCATCCGCTGCCTCTCTGTAGGGCCGTGCTCGAGCCCTTCCAGGAAGGGGATTCACTTCTGTTCTCTGAGGCTTCCCCAGGGGACGCTGCCTGGGGTCTCGGCAGTCACTGCGCGTCCCACACCCTGTCCCACAGTGTACCCATTTCTCAGACTAGCCTGGGGCTGGGCCCTTGGGGTCTCGTACCTTCTCCAGGGAGTACGTCAGCGGGGCTTTGCCCCGGGGTCTCGGCTCCTCCCAGGCCAGAACCGCGTAGGCCTCTCGGATCTCGCTGGCGTGGACGTTGGTTGGGGGTGAGGGGATGATCACAGTGTCTGGAATCAGAATCATCGGGGCAGAGATGGGTGGGCCCTCAGAGGCCCCTCACCTCAGCCCCTCATTCCATAGAGGAGGGAGCTGGGGCCGAGAGAGGGACGGGAATTTGCTCCAGGTCCACCGGCAAGGTGGGGCAGAGCCAGGGTCAGAACCTATCCCCTGATGTCTTGCCCAGGACTTTTCCCAACATGCCACCTCCTCCACGAGGCCATAGCCAGAAGGGCCACATTGCCCCGAGCACCCTGGCCTCATCCAACCAGACCCGCCCACCTTTGCACCCCCACCCCGCACACGGATAGCTTCTGCCTCTTTGCCAGTTTGTGTCCCGGCGTTTCCTGAGCTATGCAGGAGGCCGGCATCTGGGGGCCGAGTGTTCGGGAGGGTCCTGCATACCTTCGAAATCGTCTGTGCTGACGGTGATCTTGTTTCCCATATCAAAGGGGATCTCTAGGATGAGAATGGAGCAGGGGGGTGGGGAGAAGGAGTCAGGCCAGGGCCTTCCCTGCTCAGGGTCCTGAATCCTGCCCCAACTGGTCCTGGCCTTGTAGCCCTTGGCCCTCACTGTGTGACTTTGGGAAGGTACTACCCCTGGGTGGGGCTCCTGAGGGCAAGGCTATTTCCTCCTTGACATTAAGGACATCTGAAGAAGGTGCTGTGGTCCTCCGTCAGATTAGTGTCTCCTCCATCAGACTAGCTGTATCTTCCCCCTCAGGCTAGGGGTTCCTGAGGACTATGCTGTGTCTCTTCCATTAGACTAGGGGTTCCTAAGGACAACACTGTGCCTCCTCTATCAGACTAGGGGGTCCTGAGGGCTGGGCTGTCTCCCGCGTGAGGCAGTCCCGAGGGTGCCCTGACTGATGCTCTAGAATGTACCTTAGGGCCTCTGTACCCACCTGTCTTCCTCCGGGCTGCATCATGGTCGCCCATGACAACGGCTGCCGAGGCCTTGGAGGGGAGGCTGCTGCCTGCCTTGTTGATGGCTCTCACCCGGAACCGATAGCGCTGGCCTTCGACGAGGCCTTGGATTGGGCACCTACAGGTCCCCCCGGGGGCCACATGGCAGGGCACCCATTCCTTGGAGTCACCCTGGCACCTGCGGGAGACAGGCCCTGGCTTTCAGCCCCTGCCCACGATGCACGTCTTCCCAGTTTGAGCCTCTCCAAGGGCCACTCCCCGACCCAGGCTGCCCGCCCAGCCCATCTGTGCCGGTTAAAGTCCTCCTCTCCAACCGGAGAGCCTGGCTCCAACCCCAGGCCCCGGGGAAGGCCTTTTCACCATCCTCGACCCTGACGCTGACCGACGCAGCCGGTGCCCTTCCCGGAGCTTCCCCGTGAGCCGGGGGCTGTGCTGCGCCCTCCACACCCCAGCCCCGTTTCCTCTCCCGCAGCCCTAGGAGTCAGGTGTGGCCACCTTCACACTACACGTGGGGGTCCACGGCTCAGAGAGTGAGAGGACGTGCCCAAGGTCGCATGGCCAAGGTACAGCTGGGATGTCACCTGAGGGCTGTCCACCCCCTCTGTCAGCTTGCATTCCAGATTGACCCTCCATGCCTGGGCGCTCTGCACCCTCTCAGGCGGGACCGTAGCGTGTGACACTGTTAGCGGCTAGATGGGGCAGTGGTCACATGTGTGTCCAACTCCTGTCTCCACCACTAATGACAAATGTGACTTTGGGCACCGTCACCACCCCCCCGTTATATAGGGGTTGTCACGGGATGAAAGGAGGTGAGGCGCGCCCTTAGCACAGCACCGGTGCGCAGCGCGTGGGCCGGTTGCTGTGGGATCAGGTGGGATTAGGTGGGATTAGGTATTCTCTCACGCTGGCTCGAGCCGCCAGTGTGGGGTGGCAGCGGGAGGCTCTGGGCAACTCTGCCTCCCTCTTCCCGGTGTGTCTCCTCCCTCCGGGTCAGTGCTGTTCCATCTCTGTCACTCAGGGAGGAAAACAGCCAACAGATTCACATGTGCTCAGGTTTCAAGCACTTAACCGTTCGCCACTCCGGGTCAGCTCGTACAGTAGAGGGTGCGGAGGGCTGTGGCCGACTCCGGGCAGCGATGTGATTCGGAGGCACGGACACCCTTCTACTGTTCCTAAATTACACGGCACAGTCTCCCTCCTGTCCTGTTCCGAGGAGTGGTGCTGGGGGCAATCCCTGAGGCCAGGCCTGGCCCTCCCCCTTGCCGTGGCCGGGCACCCAGGCAGAATTCTGCCACTCTCGAGACCGACTCACCGCTCGATGGAGTAGGCGGTGATGGGGCTGCCCCGGGTGTCGCTGGGCGGGGCCCAGGCCAGGGTGAGGCAGTCTCTGTCCACATCCAGGCATTGGACATTCAGCGGGGCGCCTGGGGCCCCCGGCTTTTCTGGTGCAGCATCTGAAACCCGGGGGTGCGAGGAGGAGGCTCTGCCCGTCAGTGGCGGTTTGGCAACAAAGCTCCCTCCCACACCTGCCCAACGCCTTCTTCTCATTAACCCTCCGGGGCTCAGTTTTGCTCTTGGGGACCAGGGTCTGCACACCAGCCCTCGCAGCCCCCGGACAGCAGCATGGGGGCCTGGCAGGAGGACCATTTATTAGGGGCCCATTTTCCACCAGGCATCTGAACAATTAATTGGCATAATTAATCTCCAAGCCCAGAGCAGCCCTCCACTTTGCAGATGGGGAAACTGAGTCTCGCAGAGGTGAGTGACTGATCTGCCCAAGGTCACCTAGCTAGTGAAGTGGCAAAGCCAGGATTCAAACCCAGGTCAAGTGCAGAGACCAGGAGGTGGAGCTCAGCCAGGGCCAGAATCCCCCAGCCCCACTCTGAGCCCTCCCTCCCCTGCTCCCAGCCAGTCTGACCCTCCTGCCATGTCCTTTGGAGGGTCACATAATGCCACAGAGATCCTTAGAGAGACTAACCCAATGCCCTGGTTTTATGGCAGAGAAACCGAGGCCCCTAGAGAGGAGGGGTCTTGCCCGAGATCCCGCAGCAAACCAAGCAGAGCCCTGGTCTCGGGGCTCAGCTGCCCCCTGCCCCCAGCCCCTCACCTCTCACAAGCACATAGGTGCTCTGCTCCTGGGGCCCAAGACGCGAGGACACCCGGATCATGTAGAGCCCCTCATCCTCCTTGTAGGCGCAGGACACCTTCAGGGACGCCTGGCAGTCTGCATAGAGGACCTGCCGGCGTCCCGAGGACCTCAGCAGCTTCCCTGCGGAGGAGAAGGGGTCCAGGGTGAGTTTGTGGGGGACCCTGGCCTCAGCTGGGAGCCCACAGAAGCTCTGGGGTTCTGCAGGCCCTGGCCAGGCAGAGGGTGGGGGTGGGACTGGGGCGGCCACAGCCTGAGGCTCAGCTCGGGGTGGGGTTGGGGGCGGCAGCTGCCAGGGCTTTGCCAAGGCGGCAGCTGAACTCTCCTCTGCAGAAGGCTGGTGAGGAGCCGGGGGGCCAGGGTCCAATGGGGGCTGGAGGTTCTGTGAGGAAGTGGGAGCAGGAGACACGGGCCCGCTATGAAGTCGTGGGTCTCAAAGAAGGGGAGCTTGTAGAGGTGGATGGGGGCTCAGGGAAAGGGCAGGGTCTCATTGGGAGAGTGGGGGTCTTGGTGAGGAGGGGGCTCGTTGGCGGGGAGCTTAGTGAGGTGGAGGAACTCAAGAAGGGATTGTGGGGCTCAGGGAGTGCGCCCTGCCCCCAGGCCATGCCACTGGGCCGTCTTTTTGATTTGTCCCCCATGAAGGCTCCTCCCTCCTGTCAGCACCTCTATTCTGGAAGATCTGCAGGTCTGGAAAACATCTCAGCTTTGGGGAACCTGCAGCTATTTCTCAGGGCTCCTCCAGTCCCCTGTACCCCCCAGGTGTGGCTCCCCTCGGCTTAGAGCCGGGGGAACTGGAGGGGCGCTGTGCTCCTTGTCCTTTGGCTGTAGCCTGGTTATGGGGCAGCAGGTCCAGCCGTCCTTCTCCCCTCTTCCTGCCTTAGCTGACTGGCCTTCGTCACTACCACCCTGGGGGTGAGTGGTGGCATTTGAAGCCGTAGGGACTGTGCCCCTCTGTCACCCCACAGGGTGCTAAACAGGCAGAGGAAAGTGGGAGCACAGCCAGGTGGGGTCAGCCACGTCACCCCACAAATGGCCGCCATGCATCTGTGGGGTGCCAAGCCCTGTGCAGGGGCTGGGGCGCAGGGTGGGTACAGACACGCGTGGGCGCAGGGAGCTGTCTGTCTGGGAGGAGGGAGGAGCTTCGGCGCTGGCTAGGCCCTTGGCCCATGTCACTACCACCCTAGGGGTGAGTGGTGGCATTTGAAGCCACAGGAACAGAGGCCAAGGCCAGCAGACAGGAGGGCACCACGAGTGCTCGGCCAGGTTGTGACAGTTGCGTGGGGCTTTTCAGAGTCGGGCAGGGGGTGCAGGGTAAATAACTGCTGGCTCGTGGGCTGGGAGACCTCTAGGGTGTCATGGGCAAGGTCTGGGGAAGGCCAGTCAGCTAAGGCAGGAAGTCCCTGTCCACTGGGGGTCCCCAGGGTTGGGGATGGAGCCAGGACTCTAGTCCTGCTCTGGCTTCCAGCCTCTCTGGCTCTGAGTTGAGCCGCAGAGGGGGCTGCCCCTGGAGGCCGGGGGCCAGGACTGGAGGTTCTCACCGTCTCGGAACCACTGGATGTTCTGCTCGGCGTCTAACACATCTTCCGAAAATAAGCAGGACAAGGAGAAGGGTTCCTTCTCACGGGCAAAGACTGGCTTCAGCATTGATGTGAATTCCACTTTGGGGCCAAACATCGATCCTGGGGGCATAATAGAAATTCGGGGCAGAAGTTTTTTGAGACAGCCAGCCTGGCTGGGGGATGGGAGCGAAGATCCTTCTGGGGTGTCCCCTCTCCTCTTGGCTTTGACTGGGAGAAGGGGGGCCAGGCTTTGGGGGGTGGAGAGGAAGAGACTTATTTGGTACGGGCCAGAGAAGCCGGAACAGCAAATATCCGAAGGCCAAGTGCATTTGGGATTTGCCCTTCTGACCCAGTTTAGGTCAGGGGACAGCAGTCGGGGGCAGCTCTGGGTACCCTGGGACCCTGCGAAGCCAGCCTGCAGTTACTACCAGGTCAGGGACAAATCCCAAGTGGGCATCCTTTTGATGGCTGCATTCTAAAAAGGGACTGTGGGGGGTCCCAAGCCTGAACAAGGAGTCCCCAACAGTCCCCACCCCCAAGGCCCATCCCCGCACCAGCCTACTTACGTTTAAAGATCTCGGAATCGAAGCCAGCCTCCTTCCCCAGGTAAGCTGAAAACCCAAGGTGAACGGAGTTGGAGAAGGTTCACACCCCACATTCCTACTACATTTGGGGGACATGGGCTTTGGGTGTGGGTTCGAGTCCTGGTCTGTCAGTGGTTCCCCCTGTGGCTTTGGGAAAGTTCCTTCCCCTCTCCGTGCCTCAGTTCCTTCATCGGTAAAATGGGGACAGCAATTCCTGCATGGTGGTGGTGGGGTTATGAATGAATCAGGTCACATACATAAAGCCCCCAGCCAGATCCTGACACACAGTAGGTGCTCAATAAATGCTGGTTTCCTTCTACCCAAACTTGCCGCCAGGATCATGCACTGTCTTCATAGAGAGTGAGCCTGGTGAGAAACTCTGGATTTCTGGTGGGTGGGGGAGGGGCGGCCCGGGGGCGGAGGGGTGAAATCCAAGGTCACACTGACACGGATCACCTGAGAATAAGAATAGTTGTCGCTCATAAAGTGCTTCCCACGTGTCACACACGGACTCGTTTAATCTTCACAGCGGCCCTGTCTGTTGGTACTGTTATTACCTTCTCATACAGATGGGGAAACTGAGGCAGAGTCACCCAGCTAACGCCCCTCTGGCAGTCTGAAGCCATGACGCAACAGTGGTCCCGGGAAGGCCCTTCCTGAGTGATGTCCAGAGAGGGGCTGGAGGCAGCCCAAGGTCACACAGAGTAAGTGGAAGACTCAGGATTGGAACCCAGGGCTCCTGCCTCGCAGCCCAAGGCCTTCGACCAAGACCACCGGAGTTGCTATGGAGTTGAGGGCAGAGGCGGCGGTGGTGGTGGTGGTGGTGGTGGTGGCGGATGTTCTCAGCTCTCAGCAGGAAATTGCTGGAATCCAGAGCCAAGAACAAGCCCAGTGGGGCCTGGCATTGCCGGGCTGGTGGAGGGAGGGACAGGGGTCTGGATGGAGTGGTGGGAAGGCTGGGCGGACGGAGGGAGGCAGGGCTCTGATGCCTGACCTTGGGCTTGACCCTGGGCACAGCCTATGGGGACAGCTCAGATTTCCACACAGAGAGCTTGGCATGGTGGTGGGGCCGGCTGCCTCCTGAGAGCTATTTGGGGAACAGGGCAGAGGGTGGAGGGCTGTGCTGGACAGTCTAACGGGGTCTGATGAGAGGCAGGGAGGGTGGGCTGGACTCCACCTGTCTGCAGCCCAGGACGGTGGCCTGGGAGTGTGTGCGCGTGAGAGTGTGTGGGGGAGGGTCCCCTCTCCCGGGGCCCTGGGCTCGGGCATGGCATTCTCCTGGGTCTAGAGGTGGGCCTCCGGGCAGTGCTCCGCCCCGGTCCTGGCTGGGGGTGAGTTATTGTTTCCCAGGAGCCTGTCACATGCCAAGCTTCATCTGCATCATCTGATCAACGTGAGCATGTGAGGGAGGTGGTAGGGGTCCCCCTTTTGCCAATAAGGAAACGGAGGCTCGGAGAAGTAAAGTAGCTTCCCAGGTTTGCACAGTCAGCAGCAGAGCCGGGATGTGAACTTGGGCCTGGCTGACTCGTCAGTGTCTCCTCTGCTTAATGCTGTGATTTCAGATGCCCACAGGGTAATCTCCAGGAGGGGCCTGAACCCAGCTGGGAAATATGCACCAGAATTCAACTAGGGTAGTGGGGGTCAGGTGGCGAGTTGGTGGGGCGTGGCCTTTGCCTCTGAGGACCCTTCAGCAGAGTTGGCAGGGCCAGACTATCCTCCTAGAAGCTCTGAGCTCAATCCAGACCTAAGTCCAACCTGGTGGGACAAGAATGTTCTTTGGCATGGCAGGCAGGTAGGGTTGCCTTGAACAGTTGTATAGGTTGTGCACTGCACAAAGGTGTCCTCTGAGAGGGTAAGTGGAGGCTCAAATCCAGTCTGTTTTCCACTTGCCAAGCCATGTGCCCTGGCTGCTCCTGGCTGGAGGAAGGGGGCTCCTTTTTCTGACTCATCCACCCAGTTCACATGGAGGTGTCATCCATGCAGACAGAGCTGAGTTCAGTCCCAGCCCTGTCACCAGCTAACTCAGGACAGAATCAGGTACTAAGTGTGCTTGGCATGTAATGAGAGCTCAGAAAAGGTCAGTTCCCTTCTCCTCTCCTCCTAATTGCTCTTGGCACCCATCCACAGGGGCAAGGTGATCCTGCCTCACCCGTGCCATACGCCATCCACCCACAGAGCTGGCGCTGCTGCCCATGCCAGGCTGCGGGAGGAGAGTCTCACTTGCTCCAAAGGCCCCCAGGGGAGGGGGAGTCTCCCTGGCTGCCCCGGTCACCAATGTCAGGCTAAACGCCCTGGTGTTGGGGTCCTTCCTTGGGTCTGACACAGACCCACGTCCTCATCTGCTCCACATGGGTTTGCTGTGGCCCAGCCTGCGGGGGATGGGGCGCTTACTGCGGACGAGGACTTTGGCGAAGGAGGAGGCCTGGCCGTAGGCGTTCTTCACCACCACGGTGTAGGTGGCGGAGTCCTCCATGGTACATCTGAAAAGGAGAGAGGGAGAAGTTGCCCCCAAGACTGCTGGGCTCTGTGGGAAATGCAAGTCCCCCTCCGTGGGGTGCAAGGGGGAGACTTCGGGTGCCATCTCAGAGAGGCTGTGTGTCTTTGGGCTGGACATTGCACCTCTCCATGCTTTGGTGTCCTCTGAGAAACTGGAGACATAACACCACCTAAACTCAGGGAAAGTGCTTTGAAAATATGATGTGTCACACTGCATTGCTATTGCCGACTCTGGAGGATCAGAGAGGTTAAGTGACTTGCCCAGAGTCACACAGCAACTGGAATTCAACCCAGCTTCAAACCAGAATCCTGGAGCAGGAGCCTCCTCCTTTCACACAGAGCAGCAGACAGACTCGGCCAAGGGAGACTGCCAATCTGTGCAGACCTGGGCCAGATACCCACGTGTTCCCAGTCCCGGCCTGGGTCTCACCACCAGCCAGGCCAACCCTGTCATGTTCCCAGTGGAAGCTCGGGTCAGCTCCATCCCAGGGGCACCTTGGTGACAGAGAGTAGGTGGTACCATGTGGCACATCTGGCCCCACCAGCAAGTACAGAGGCCCCTTGGTGCCCCCTCTTTCACCCTGGTTGCTCAGGGCAGGAATCCCTCCTGCTTCAAGGGCCAGACTCGCCTGCCCCTCGGGGTTGCCTGCCCTGCACACCTTCCCTGACTGTGCAGCCCACGGGGCTCCTCCCTGTTGTAGCTCTGCGAGCTCAGGCGTTTACATCCCCGTCACCCCCCTTTGCTGCTGGAGGGTGGGAGCAATGTCCCCTTCATCTTGGTGTCTTTGAAGCCCCAGTTGGATGAGGCGGAGGGTTTGGTGTTTGGAAAACAACCCAGATGGAGAGAACTGGCTCACACCTGGGCCCTGCCGTGTGCTAGCTGTGCAAGGCCCTCAGCTTTCTGAGCCTGTCTCCTCATCGTAACTGGGTGACAATCTTCCCTGCGAGCATGGTGGCGAGGATTACTGATCGCATGTGCAAAGCACCGAGCACAGGCCTTGGCACCTGGGAGGAACTCAACACGTGGCAGCTCACATGAATCATACATACTTTTGGGGGGATTAGGCTTTTATATTCCCAGATAGCCTCCCTCCTGGCAGCCCCCCTCTTCCTTCCAAATCATGCTTAAGAGTCACCATCTCCTGAAAGGCCCAACTCTCTCGCCTCTAACTGCTTCCCCTCGCGCGTGTGTGTGCACGCACATGCGTGTGTGTGAGCATGTGTGTATGCACTTGTGCCTATGTGTGCTTTCTGTCCCCTAGCAAGGAGCTTTCCCAGCTCAGCATTCAGTCCTGCTAGTCTCGGAGTGTGTTCCAAGGCACTGGGATCACGCAGAGCGAGTGTGTGATAAATTCTGATTCCTGGGCCCCACTCTGGACCGACTCAATCTGAGTCTCTGGAGGCGGGGGAGGATCCGTCCCTGGAATCAGTATTTTAACGAGCACCCCAGGTACTTCTGAAGGTGAGGCGAGCTGAGGACACAGCTCCCAGGAAGGGCTTGAGATCCCGCTCCCGCCTTGGTTGCGGTGGAGTCCGGGGATCGTAGGTCCCTCCGGGTTCGCGGTCTCACCTCCTAATCTCCAGGGTCAGCAGCCCGTAGTTGTTGGTGATTCGGTATTTTCCAGCGGGAAAGAGGCGAGGATCAATTCGCATGTCATTTTTGTACCTGCGGAGACACAGCGGTGGGCGGCGGGCCGTGTGGTTCTAAGTGGGAGCGGTCGGGAGCCCCTCAGCCCTGGACTCCAGGCTCAGCTGTGTGTGTTGCTCACTTGCCTAAGTGACCCAGGGCGGCACTTTCACGGAGCCGAACCTCAGGCGTCCTCCCCGTGGAGTGGGGGTGTGATAGCTCCGGGGCTGCTGTGGCAATTAAGTGGGCGAAGGCACAGAAAGTCTTTCCCCGGCCCCCCACACTATAGATGTTCCAGGGTTCGTTTCCCTTCTGGGGGCAGCAGCCCCCCACCCCAGCAGGGCCCCCCAGGGGTACCCCAGGCCCCAGCTTTTTCCTCCTCTCCGAGGGGACTTGCCGGGGATGGTCCCCCAGTCCCTGCCTGCCTTGCCAACCCCCCGTGATGGCTGTTCTTTATTTTGGCTCCTGTTACAATCACCCGAGGAGCTTTAAAAAAATCTCTGTACCAGTTTTTGAACATAAGCCTTCAGGAATCTGCATCAGAAACTGCTAATTGTTCTCCAGTAGCCATTCTCGCGGGGAATAGAACTTTCCCCTGGGCCACCCAATATATGACATGTTTCCTTGCCTCTCTTTCTGCTAGGCGCAGCCACAGGAGTTAGGATTGTCAACAGCAAGTGAGGACAAGTGTCACACTTGTGACACTTGGCTGCTGCTCCCGACAGCAGCCTTCGCCCCTTTCACGTCATCTTTCCCCCTGTCCTGCGGCAGGAACGGGGCCGTGATGGCTGCTATGTCGCACCCCAAGCCCAGGGCCACCCCCTCTGCAGTGATCTGGAGGAATCGGAGTCCCTGCCCACTCCGGGGAGCAGAGCTGCCACAGTGGCCCTATGCTGACATTAGATGGAAGGAAGATAAGCTTCTGACTTATCTGAGCCACTAAAAAACCAAACAAAACTCCACGCCCAGGCTGCAAGCCAGATCAACGAAATCAGAATTTCTCGTGGAGGGACTCTGGTGACTCCCAAGGGTGGCCAAGCACGTCACCCTGCCCTGGGTGCAGCCCTTGTTTTCTGGGGTCTCGTTTTCTCTGCTGTGCGGACTAGATGGTGGGCGGCCTGGGGGTCTGGAGGCCTAAGGAGTTGGGGCTGGGGATTGAGTGTCAGTGACAGCTAGGAGGCCTGGGTCCTTGACGCAGCTTGCTGTGTGACCTCGGCAGCTCAGTCTCCCTCTCTGGGCCTCTGTGTCCTCAAGGCTGCCGAATGGACAGTCCCACATGGTGAATGCCCCAGAGTTGGTGGCTGAGGTTGAAGAGGAGGCCTCGTCGAGAAAGGGTGCACCAGCCTCAGTGTGCTGCCTTCCTTGGACCTGGCCCCCAATGCCCTGTTTGTCTCCATGGCAACCAAACAGAGCCCCACCCACGTCCCTCCAAGCAGCCCTCAGCTGGGCCCTCTTCCGAAAGGAGCCCAACCAAGTCTCCCGTGGGGAGGGAGGGCGGTGCCTATCTTTCCAGCTGTCCTGGGTCTGGAAGCCAGGGTCAGGCCCCCCACCCACACCTGTCGGGAACATTCCAGACACCTCAGCCTGGCCAACTCTGCTTCTCCTGGAAAAAGTAGCTACTGCTGCTCTGGCATGGTCTGGATAGCCGGAGACCTCAGCGCTTACCCCGCCCTGTCTCTGGGCCTCAGTCTCCCGCCCACACAGTCAGTAGAGTAAGGCTGTGTGTTGGAGTCTTCTCAGTGCCTCGGCATTCAGGAAGTGCTCAATAATTGCTGAGTGCATAGACTTCCCCGACAAGCCAGGTGAGCCAGGATCTTCCTCCCAACCTGGGCCTGGGTCTCCACCAGTGCCTGGACAGGACAGGTCCATCCTGGGACAACGTGTGGCCCTGACCCAGGGGACTGATGAGGGAAAACCAGACCCCAAAGCCAGGAGCACCGGGGCCACCGAGTCACTGGGGCTGGAGGTGGGCCTGGCCTTGGCTCCCACCGCGTGTCAGGGATGCTCAGCTCCCTGTTGTGGCAACCTTGTTGGCAGGGGTGGAAACAAGTCCCCTCCCGAGAGGCTTCCAAGAATGCCTCACACGTGGGCCTCCGTGCCAGGGCCGGGCAGGGCTTGGCTGCAGGGCCAGGACAGCTGAGGTGCTGACCTCCACTTAGCCCAGCCGGGTGCTGGCAGCGTCCTCTGGGACCAGCAACTTGCACCCAGGGACCGCCTCGGTCCCCACAGAGTCCCAGGGCCCAGCAAGATGCTTGCCATACTTTTGTGAATAAATGCCCCAGTGCCAACTCCCTCAGGATGCCTTTTTTTTTTTTTTTTTTTCCTGAGACAGAGTCTCACTTTGTTGCCCGGGCTAGAGTGAGTGCCATGGCGTCAGCCTAGCTCACAGCAACCTCAAACTCCTGGGCTCAAGCAATCCTTCTGCCTCAGCCTCCCGAGTAGCTGGGACTACAGGCACGCACCACCATGCCCGGCTAATTTTTTCTATATATTTTTAGTTGTCCAATTAATTTCTCTCTAATTTTAGTAGAGACGGGGTCTCGCTCTTGCTCAGGCTGGTTTCGAACTCCTGAGCTCAAACAATCCGCCCGCCTCGGCCTCCCAGAGAGCTAGGATTACAGGCGTGAGCCACCGCGCCCGGCCAGGATGCCTTTCTTGATTGCTCCTGGCCTGAGTGATTTCTATTTCTCTCTCTGCCTTCTGAAGCATTATGGTGCTTTAAGGAAAATAGCAGCCGTAATGATGACTTTCCTACTCTCTAGGCCAGTTGGAAGAGTTACGGGCTTGAGGTAGGAGACCCGAGTTTAAATCCTGGTTCACACTGGCTGTGTGACCTTAGGTAAGTCACACTACCTCTCTGAGCCTTGATAGCCCCACCTGTGCAATGGGGGTAATAAATAGTCCCTGCCTCATGAGTGGCTTTGACTCTCAAATGAAAGCAAGGTTCTGGGTCGGCGGAAAGGGGACTCGCGTATAAGATGCTGCTGTTTCCCCTTGTGTCCTCGTCTTTGCGTGCTTGTCTGTCGGCCCATGGCCTGTTTACCCTCCAGACCTGGCCCGCACACCACCTCTTCCGAGCAGCCCTCTGGGTCCTTCAGGCCAAGGCAGCCGCTTCCTCCTCTTCGCCCCATTTTCTGATCTTAAACATCTCCCATAAAAGCACGTCTCTGTGTGCTGATGTTTCCCTTCTGGACTGAGAGTTCCTTGCGGGTGAGATTGTGTCTGGTTCATCTCTGCACCCAGTGTCCGAGTCAGGTCCTGGGACAGATGACGCTCTCGGAAAACATTCGTTGAAATTCCTTCCTCATCCCTCAGGGTGCCGGGCCATGGGCCTTGGACCAGGGGGAGGTCAGTAAACAGTGGCTCAGCTGTGGGAGTGACTCGCCTGCCTCCTCCTGTGGTCAAGCTGAGAGCTGGGCGTGGCTATGCCTGTGCAGGGCCCCACCCTCCCCTCCCCTCCCCTCCCCCAGCAAGCGCAGCCTCGGGGCTCTGCTGTGGCTTCGCTCCAGGAAGGGCATCTCCTGCTTTCCCAGCCCGTTCCAAGTTCTGAGGGCTTCCATGTTGTTGTGGCACTAAATCCTCACCGCATGCAAGCTGGACAGGAAGTCTCCAACCCATTCTACAGAACAGGAAACTGAGGCAGGACTAGAAAGGTTAAGAGCTCCTTCCTGCTACAGCCCCTGCCCTCCCTACCTCCTCTCCTGCTGCTGGCCCCTGCCCTGCCTCCCACCATCATCCTGCAGCCCTGGAGACGCCCAGCTGGGAGCAGCTGCCTTCTCATGCCACCACAATCTCATTTTTACGAGGGCTGGCTCCTGGGGGCCCAGACTTTAGGCCCCAAGCTGGCGGGCGGGCGGCTAAGAATAACCCGGGCCTGCAGCTGCTGCCCTATTTGAGGGGTGGGCAGAGCTCGGCCCGTGGGGCTGTGGCTTTGCTAAGGCAGCAAGAACTCCCGGAGCAGGTGCTGTAAGGAACTCACACTCACATGACCCCAGAGGCCCCGAGCACGGAGGCAGGGCGAAGACCCCCCTCCGCCCCAGCAGCTTACCAGGTGACCTGGGGTGGTGGCGAGGCGTAGACGGTGCAGGTGAGCAGGACACTGGCGTGCTCCCAGACGGCGTGGGAGCGGAGGGGGATCCAGAACCAGGGCCCCCGGCCGGAACACAGCTCCCGCAGCTCCTTGGCCTCCCGGACCTTCTCCTCCATCTGGAGGCAGGAGGGCAGGTGACTCCCATGAGCCAGGGACCCCCTGTCCTCCCTCTTTGCCATCATCTTCCCCGGACGCCCAGACTCCGGAGGCAGAGTCCTCCTTAGCACCAGCTGGGGCAGGTGGCCCACCAGGAAGGGCGGTGGGCTTTGGAGCCAGCTGGCCTGGGATCAAGGCCTGACCCTTCTGCTTTCCAGCTGTGGGACCACAGGTGGGTCCTCAGTGTTCTTATCTGCGAAATGGGGCGATGATAAGATCTTCCCCCCACACCCCAGTGTGCACTGAGAAAGCCCACATAAGTGTGACCTGGGGAGGGGTGCAGAGAGTGGCTCAGACCCCAGACACGTGCCAGGGCTGGCATTTCCTGAGGCTCTTCTGCGCTCTGGGTACGGGCAAAGTCACCTGACAAACCCAGTCTCACTTAGATCCCACCTCAGCACTGAGAGTGCCATAGACGAGAGCACTGAGGCTCAGGAAGGGTGACTCACTCGCCCTGGTCGCACAGCTGGCAGGGGGGGCACAGGTTCAAACCCAGGGCCCAGCCTCTGTCCCGGGCTCAGGGGCTCCCCAGGGCCCCCTCACCCGCCACCTCAGCGCCTTCCGGTCACGCCTGTGGCGCAGCTGCCGGTGTGTCCGCAGGAAGGCGATCTCTGTCCTCTCCCAGTCGTTGCCGAAGCCCACCCGCTTCTGCCCGCGCTCCTCCAGCTCCACCGTGGAGGTCCGGCGCCTCAGCTGGGCTTCCCTGCGGGGACGGAGGCCGCCGGGGCTCAGGCAGGGCCCGAAGGGCCTGGGGTATCCTGGCCGGTTCCATCCCTACACCCAGCAGTGACAGCTGCACGTGAAGCTTTTTGGGGACAAGCGTGACTTTGCACCCTCTCTTGTCTCCAAAACATCCTCAAAGGGCCCTGCTTACAGTCGGTGCTTAATAAACACTTGACTATCGTTACAGTTTGTGAAGCTCTTTCTAAAACCCTTGTGCATCTTGTTTTCACCTTAGCCGAGTGGACGGGCATTAGTCTCCCTGTTCTGCAGGGCAGGGACTGGGCCTCGCTGACTCCTTCCAACTGGCCAGGACCACGACGCAGCCCAGGGCCCTGCACGAGCCGGACGCTGCGTCTCGACACCGTCACGCTCAGCGGCCTTCCCGGTCTCTGGGCTCGTGTGTGAAACCGGGGCTGGTTCACTTGCTCCTTCCCTCCCATGCCCAGCCCCTCCCTGACCACGTGAAGCTGTGGGTGAAGTGGGCCCCCCACCCTCTCCCTTGGGGACAGTCCCTCACTGCTGTGTGGACCCTCTGGAAGGTGGGGTGTGGCCTTGGCGGGCAGACAGCCTGGAGCTGACTCTCCTGTCTAAGTTCTATTCTAGATGCGTAAGTTTGGCCTGGTTCTCTAAGCTCAGGGTGGGAGCCCGGGGGGAGGCAGGGGACTGGACAGGATGGCCCCACCTCAGCAGGGCTCCCCAGGGAGGTCGCCGGACTTACCAAGACAACTCGGAGGAGGCCGTCAGAGCCAGGGCAGCAGCGAGCGCGTAGTCTGCGGCGCTGAACTGGTAGTCTTCCTCACTGCTCCGGGAGGAAGGGGGTTCATGGCTCCTGCAGGGTGGGCTGGGATCTGGCCGGGGGCTCCCTGAGATGAGGGCTGCACCCACCCCCTCAGCCTCAGGGCGCCAGCAGGCAGGGCTGGGCCTCCCTCCTCAGACGGGGTTTCCAGAGGGAAAGGCTGTTCCTCCCCTCTCCTATGGGGGCCTCCAGCGGGCAGGGCTGTCCCCCCTCAGACTGGGGGCCCTGGGGGCAGGGCAGTGGCTGGGCGGCGACCTTGGTGCCCCACCTGCTGCGGAAGGTCCGCCTCCGCACCGAGGAGCCCATGTGCAGGCTGTGCTGCCGCTGCTCCTTCTGCTCCTCCTCGTGCCGGCGTTCCAGCCTGCGGACCTCCACGGCCTGGCGGGGCCGGGGGTCCCCCGCGCTTTGGGGGTTATGGGGCAGAGTCATGGCTACAAGAGCAACAGCCTGTCAAAGCAAGGTCCACCGTCATTCCGGCAGGTGTCTGCCCATCCCTTCCCGCGCAGTCCTCCCAACCTCTCTGGGAGGCTGGTGGGGTGTGGGGCTCTCTCTTGAGTGGGCAGACAGGGAAGGGGAGCGACCTGTCCAGGGTGACAGAGGCAGGCTTCGCTCTGAGCCTGGCTTCTCCCCCACCCCACGTGCCCCCCTAGCTGAGTGAGCAGAGCCCCACGTAGGCGAGCAGGGCCCTGGCTCCCAGGGGCTTCCAGCTGCAGCCCTGCCCTCGGCTTGCTGCGCAATCTGGGATGAGCCTTTCCTTCTCTGGGCCTCGGCTGCCCAGACAATGAGTGGTTGAAACTGTGACTGTATCTATGGCTGTATCTATGGCTCAGAATGGTCAGGTGTCCTCACTGTCCCTGCATAGGCCACAGTCAGTGCTGCCTCTGAGCCTTTGCACGTGCTGATTCCTCTCCTGGAGTACACTCCCCTCCCCCAGGCCCGCTTAACTCTAGCGATGCTTCCAAGGCCAAGCTGAGAACGCTCCGGGTGGCACAGTGGTTACCGTGGAGGCTCTCGGTCCAGCCTGCCAGGCGTGATCCCAGCTCTTCACTCTAGCTTATGAGCGTGTGACCTTGGGTAAGACTCTATGACTTGGTTCCTCATCTGTAAAATGGGTCTATTGACCTTCCAGAGTAGTCGTAAAGGTTAGATAGTGCCTGACGCTTAGTAAGCACTACACAGGTATCAGAAGTTAGCTTTATTTTTTGAAGAAGCCCTGCTGAAAAACTGTAGGCCATCTAGAACTTTCCCTTCTCTAGTCCTTTTTGGACTTTTCGTCTGTACTGCACAGTTAAGCTCTGATTCAGAAAATGCCTCCTCTCACTATTTAGTTATTTTGTAACTGTGCATCTTGACTCTTCAACAAGATAGCATGTGAATTAAAAGTAACAATAGTGAGCGCTCAGGCCCCATGTTAGGAGAGTCACATGCATTGTCCCAGTCCCTGCAACAATCCAAATGATGACAGCACCGTTATTACCCCATTTTACTGATGAGGGGGAAGCACTTGCCCAGGGTCACCCAGCTAGTTGGTGGTGGGGCCATGACTGGCAGCCAGGTCTGTCTGACTCCTGGACCTCCTGACTTCTACGTCACATGTCTACTGAAGCCCAGGCCTTGGCTGAGGCTGGGGACACAATGGACCACAGGCCAGATCCTCCTCTGTACTCCTGAGGCTCAGGCCTAGGCCCCAGATGGTGCTCAGTAGGCTGGATCAAATCCATCTGGAGGAGATTCCAGGATCAGGGAGCCAATCCGTGGATATGGAGAGGCACGTGAGGTGGGTTTGAGGTTTCTTTTTTTTTTGAGACAGAGTCTCACTCTGTTGCCCGGGCTAGAGTGCCATGGCATCAGCCTAGCTCACAGCAACCTCTGACTCCTGGGCTCAAGCAATCCTTCTGCCTCAGCCTCCCGAGTAGCTGGGACTACAGGCATGCACCACCATGCCCCGCTAATTGTTTCTATATATTTTTAGTTGTCCGATTAATTTCTTTCTATTTTTAGTAGAGACGGGGTCTCGCTCTTGCTCAGGCTGGTTTCGAACTCCTGAGCTCAAACAATCCGCCCGCCTCGGCCTCCCAGAGTGTTAGGATTACAGGGGTGAGCCACCACACCCGGCCTGGTTTTTGGGTTTTTGCACTAAGTTTTTTCTCACATCTGGGCTCAGTGTCTCTGCTGGGTCCCTAGGGGCCCATCTGATGCTAAAACACTAGGACCCTTGTTGGAATCCCTGGAGTGGCTGTCACACCCCCTCCAGGTGGCAATCCTCGTCAGCAGGTCTCTGACCTAGAAGAGTCCCTGCCCAGGTGTGGGAGGGAAACAGAGACCACCGCCGCAGCCCTCTCCATCAGCTCTGCCCAGCCCCCACCTCTCTGGAGGTGCCTGCTGCAGGTGGCAGTGTGTGTGTGTGTGTGTGTGTGTGTGTGTGTGTGTGTGTGTGTGCGCGCGCGCATGCGCGCAGACTGTCTTCTGACCTGGGTGTGAATGCAGCACCCAGGTGACCATTTCTCTAAGTCCGTGATGTGGGAGCTGAGCCCACTGGCCCATCAGAGGTCCCCTGGCCTGGGAGGGGCTGCTGGGGGGTGTTGCGGGGCTGAGGCTGGTGGGGGCCAGTCTTATGGGCATTTACTCTTTCTAGTTCCTAAAAGTTTGCTGCCTTTGTGTGTCCGCAGTTGTGGGCACCAGGAAAGGATTACTGCAGTGTTAGCCGGGACCAAGGGCTTCCCCTAAAGCTCCCTGGGCTCCTGCCGACAATCTCAGCTGAACGTAATGGGACAGTCATCCGCTTCAGCTTCGTATATGGCCCCTCCGGATGGAAGGTCTCTCTGCACCCACAGAAGTGGCCAGCCCTGCTCAGCCTGCCCTTTCCCTCTCGCAGCCCAGGAGGACAGCTGCTGGGTACCACCCTGGGGAGCAAGGCTCCCCCATCCCCCCAGCTTTCCTGGGACACTATGGCCCTGGCCCCAGCAGCCGGGGGTTAACATTCCCTGGCGCCAGCCACTGGCTCCCTTCCCCTGGATGCTCTGTCCCTGATTAGCACGGTGGCCGGGGCTGGCGTGCATCCCTGACCTCGGGGCCTCCAGCAACCAGACCCCTGCCTTTAGCGGGTGAGCCAACAATTCTTTTTAAAGCACTGACTGATGCGCGGGATTAAGCAGGGACAAGTTTGCAGCCTCCCCTGCCCTCTCCCCACGGGACCAGGGTGCCCTCTTCCCGGAACACTCTGTGTGCCTGCCGGGGAGGGGTCAGTGCGGTGTGGGCCTGGAGGGGAAACCGCCGCTGCTGCCCTTTCCTGGGGGTGCAAGAGCCTGGGCCAGAGCTCCAACCCAACCCGGCCCAAACCCCCCAACTTCCAACCAAACCCCAAACCGCCTCCCAACCCTCCGACAGGCACCCCCTAGGAGGCCTCTCCCCTTCCCCGGGAGGGGAAGAGAAAGGCATGGAGGCAGAGTGACTCGGCCACCAGGATCCCTGCGGGAACTGGTGGCACAGGGGCTGCGTTGGGTGGTCCGTACAGGCTGGGATGTGTCTTAGCTGGTGGCTCCACCAGCTTCCGAGAGGCCGAGTTCCGAGCTGGCTGCTGGTGAGCGACGCCTTTCCCTCTGGGGCTCGGTCTCCTGCCAGTCCACCCGGCGCCACGCCGGATGAGATCCCTTCCAGCCCTAAGACTCGGGATCTGAGGGCTTGCTCTCTCTCCCTGCCTGCGGGGTAGGCCAAGCAGAGCTCAGCCAGCGCCGCTCTAGTTTGGGGAACTTGCCAGCTCACCCCAGTCCCCGCCGGTTGCTGCTCCATCGCAGGAAAGATGACAGTTCCCTGGGCAGCCCCCGATTGTGTGTGTGTGTGTGTGTGTGTGTGTGTGTGTGTGTGCAGCTTTCGACATCACAGAAAACTCAGCTCTTGGGAGACCCAGGGCCACACAGAACAGTGGGATGGGGCAGGGGTTTCTGGGATTCCCCCACCACTTTTTGACTTGGGGTGCTGCCTAAGCACAAATCTCTCAGGCCCCTTTCCGACACACACACACACACACACACACACACACACGCACGTGGAAAGCTGAGGTCTCACTTCTAAAGGTGGATCTGCCCACCCCGGTCCCTGGAGGTGACTCACAGAAGCAGCGTGCCCACTTAGGGGTCTCTGGGGAGAAAGTTCCAGAGGGCGAGAGGGTCCTTGGTCGCTTCCTGCCCTTGGCTCAGCGAGGACTGGAAGAAGAATGCGATCCTGGAGCCTGCACTGTCTTAAATATAGCAGCGCTGTGACAGTACGATGACAATGGATGGGAACTATGGCATGGGGTGGGGAGGAGGCACTGCTCCGTCCTGCCAGCGCTGGACGGCAGCAACAGGTGGAGCTGCCCCCCCCGCCCCCCCCTACTGCTCCTCCTCTCAGCGATGCTCTCAGCCCGACTCTGGCCCCGGTCACAGTGGAAAGGAGGTGATGGCTCAGGGCTGTTGTGCGGGAGGCAGAGCCGGTGTGGTTTTCCCAGCTGTTGGGAATTCTGATCCGAATTCTCCCTGGCTGGCTGGGTGCCCGGGGGAAAGCACTCAGCTTCTCTGATCTGCTTCCCCTTCTGAAAAATGGAGATGGCGAGACTGGGCACCCGGATTTCATGGACATGGAGGAAGGAATGTGACCTAAAAATAAGTCTTCACTGCTCCTATGCTATCACTGGCTAAAACAGAAACGTGTGGCTGCTGGTGTCTACCCTGCCCTCCGTCACGTGTGTTTGGGGGGCGAGGAGTTGGGGAGCCATCTACTGCTTCACTGTCCAAAGTCCCCAGGCTGCCAGAGTGGCCACTGCGGGTCCCTCTTCCCACGCTTCACCCTGACCCCGCCCCCCCCAGTCTCAATTCCTTCCCCCTCATGTTCACTCGCACCCACCCGTGCCAGGCCTTGCAGGCACTGAGGATGGGGAAGGAGGCCCTAATCTAGAGGGGACAGTGGGCAGCCATGACAGCAGTGACCAGGAACGTGCACCAGGCCGAGTCTCAGGATGGGCCGGCTTGGGGAAGGCGGTGCCGGAGAGCACAGCCCAGAGAGCACAGCTTCCCTCCCTGGCCTCTTCCTGGGCCACAGGTGGCCACCAACACTGCGCCTGTCACTCTTCCCAGTGCCTCAGGGACTACTCCCTGGGAGAGAGCGAGTAAGTGTGCAGACGTGCTAGCGAGCTGTTCCAAGTCCTTAACCTCCTGCCCTATTTGAAACCCCTCTCTAAGCCCTCCTGCTTCTCTCTTCCTCCCCGGCCACGTATTAATAGCATCTTTTAGGGGAGGGCATTTGGCATTTCTCTCCCATCTTTTATTGACCCAACCTAAGAGCTTTTTTTTTTTATTTCAGCATATTATGGGGGTACAAATGTTTAGGTTATGTATATTGCCCTTGCCCCCCTCCCTCCTGAGTCAGAGCATCAAGCGTGTCCATCCCCCAGA